TGTTCAACTAATCAGAAGCCTAGAAAATCAAACGGTTGAAAATAAATTTCCGATTGAACCAAATTGTTGCGTCCTTGTTCTGTCTACCAACTTTTGAGCAGAATAACTTGTCTAATCTAGATTAAGACCTTGACGTGATATTCTGACTGACTCGACCTTGAGGCTAGTATGTGTGAGTTCGAAGTAAGACAAACTGCTCGGGGTAGAGAGGCGAAAACTATTCTATCGTCTGATTGGCTGACAAGCACGCGAATGAGAGAAGATAAGTCAACTGGAACAGTACATTATTTATTCCCAATTCCGATCTTGCTCCGGACTTCAGATTAGTGTAGAAAGATGCATGAATAAGTAGATGGCTAACTAGACTATAACGCGCAAACAAGAGGGAAAATACAATTATGTCCAAAGCTAAGGTTTAGAGTGGAAAAGATTACATTTAAATTACAATAGCGTTGGAACAGAAAAGGCTATGGCAGTGAATCATACACCAAACGAAAGCTTATAACCTGCAGAATAGACTAGAGACAAAAATGAATGTTACTGTTTTACAAGCTTTGAATTAAATGAAATAACATCCCCAAAAATAGTTTCCGTAGTCTGTCAAAGCCTTTTCTTTCTCTGTTCATATCACTAATCTTCTCGGTAGTGAATTAAATAGAGAAAAACTTGGAGTATTAGCACCAAGCCTGAAAACTGAATGACCAATGACGTCAGTAATAAGATAAAGAACGAATTGACCAGATCGTTAAGAAATCTCAGAGACCAACAGGTACTTCCATCAAATTTTATACGAAACAATTAGGCCGATGAGTACCGACTTACCAAGGTTATACGGACTACCGAAGTACACAAACCGGATACTATTCCCCTTATCATACTGTAGCAGTGTTATTAACAATTTTAAAACGACCCCACAAACACTTAGTTAAGCATATTATTAAGAATATATTGTGATCCATCGACAAAATCAAACACATAAACACTAATGGGTAAACGATGGTATCCTTAGGCATAACATCATTGTTTACAAACATCTCACTCAGGGGGACTGTCCAATATATCTATGAACAACACATGGAGGCTACAATCCTTGTGGATATCATTAAGAAATGATTACTAGAATGTACTATGGACACCAACTTCAAATTCAATGGTGAAATCTTAAAATATTTAGAAAAGAAAGCCTTATTTGGTGACTAATGTTGTATATTTATTCTTTTTGCTAGGGGGATTTTGTAAATATGGGTCTACGGGTGAAATTTATCACATTGCCCCCAAATGTCCTGGTACGGACCAAAGTGTGGAGAGTCCGCTCTCCCTCTCGGAATGCTCTCACATGGTCACGCGTATATAGCCTCTGCCAGGGAAGTCCTACTCACCGCCTTAAGAGGAAGAAAGGCGAATATCCGGCGCTTTAACCGGATTCCAAACCAATGATGCACATGGGCTCCAGTATCCTGAAGGAACAAATGGCGTATGAACCAATCGTTGGTCACCGGCTATTGTGGGAATGCATCTCCTTACGATGCTCCACTGCCTTGTGGATCAGACCTTCAGGTCGAAGGTTCCGGGTGTGGCCCCCTAAGAAAACCACCTGCTTCGGTTTGGGCACCCGGGTAGTATCACAGCCCTCACACAAATCAAATATTTTTGTGGCGCATATGTATTTGGTGCCTCCTTATACCAATATATGTGTTAAAATAAATAAATATCACATCCTATTATTGATCGAGATACTACGGAATGTCTAAGGAACATTGAAAATATATTTATCATACGGTAATGCACCTCAATACATCACTAAGGATCATATATAAATTTCCAAGTCTCGAGGAGAGTGTTTTTTATTATTAGACTAGTAAGTTGGCACTCAGTGATACACATTTCCAACCTCAACTGGTGTGAAGACGATCCATCACTTATATATAAAATTGCTCTCGAACAAAACCATAATCGTGCACTCACTAATGAATTATTTTGATATGACCTTTTAAAGTTCCAGTAGTAAGTCACAACTAATAGTGATCAGTGATATCGTAAGTGAAACAGCTGTTATCAGTGCCACCCAGTGGTCATTGTGTTATATCATGGATGTTTTAAATGGGCAACAATGGGTATCAACTCAATAGTCTAATGTTGTTCAGTGCACATTGAGAGACGTGAAGGTCCTGAGTGCTCACATTCACTTAGAAGTGATGTATAACCTAGCACATGTGTGTACAGGTTCAAGTTGCCACATAAACATCAGCCCAGTAAGATAAAATTATAAAGACAAATGTCAGCAAAGCTAAAGTAGTAACAGTATAATAGACGGTTGGGAACATTAGGCATATACAATATGATGATTTGGGACGAAAGAACGTAATCCTACACTAGCAAACATAATGCATCGAAGTAAACGATGGTTAGATATAATTAATACACATCCCAACCACCTCAGTCGATGAAGATTCATTACTTATCAACCGATATGACATCTTTACCTAGACGCCTGACGTTTAAGCTGAGCATTAGTCACTCAGTGGTTCTAACATACTACTAAGGAATATGATGTTTATTATTATCAAAGAGAGAATAAGTTTCTTAATTCGAATTGAAAACAGCACGAGGCTCAATTTCTTAGCAATATATTATAATTTGACGTATAAATAATTAATCAAGGGAAAGAACAAAACACACAAAGAAAAGCAAAAAAATACGGCGAAACATTTTTCACATAAAAATCAAAATACATAAGCACGTATATGTTAAACGGACAGTTAATCAATAGAGTTGAAAGTAAGTATTTAATAAAAAAAAGAGGATAACTAAAGTAAAATATTCACGATCAACATAATTAATTCGATTATTTCGCGTTGATAATAGAAAAAAGTAACAGAGGCAATAAGCTTACAATGCTGAATATATCATCATATGGTAAAAAGATGACGAGATAAATGGGATGAAATAAGGAAAATTTTCCTAAATATTCTTCGGTAAATACGTCCGCATATATTTTGGCAAAATGTTTGTTAAATAGTATAGTTTTTGTGAATATTTTCGAGTCAGGAAGATTGTAAACTATTATTGAACTCATATACTGTTGTGAAGTAGTTAGCCTTGCATAAATCAAACATAGGATAGTCATAAATATTTCAGCATTTTATAAGTCAGGCGCTTGCTGTGAGACCTTAATTTCCAAAGCTCGATCAACAGTGAGATCTTTAGTTCGGATTTCAGGGGAGTCCTTTACTTGGACCAAGTGCCCTGGACGAGAGTGGGGAGAGTTCGCTACCCCTCTCGAAATGCTCTCACATGGCCACGCGTATATAGCCTCTGCCAGGGAAGTCCTACTCACCGCCTTCTCGTGGCATTACTGTTGTTTACGAAATTGAGAGGACGAAAGGCGAATGTCCGGCGCTTTAACCGGGTTGGTGGACATGGAGAGTCCACCTAGGGGAGCTGGAAAACCCTGACTCCAAACCAACGGTGCACATGGGCTCCAATATCCTAAAGGAACAAATGGCGTATGAACCAATCGTTGGTCACCGGCTACCATTGGAATGCATCTCCTGACATTGCTCCATTGCCTTGTGGATCAGACCTTCAGGTCGAAGGTTCCGGGTGTGGCCCCCTAAGAAAACCACCTGCTTCGGTTTGGGTACCCGAGCAGTATCACAGCCCTCACACATATGAAGTGAGATTTGTGTGGCGCATATGTATTTGGTGCCTCTTTGTACCAATATCTATATGTTAAAATAAATAAATAATAAATAAGGACGAAACAACAGTCTAGTGGTTTTTCTTTTTGGTTTTCAGTGGTCGCCTAATTAAGGTCGGTTCGGTGTAAAATTCCTAAAACTAAACAATCTTTATGAAACGTTGACATCAATAAGTATTCTTCTCAGCTTTGTAAAAAGAATGCTCTAAATATGCTAAATCTGTTGAAATTTTCTATTTATGATGCGTTATGATTGATGCATTTTACTTGGATATAATCACATGAGCCTTAACAATAAAAGGTATCAGTGACCTACCACTCTTTCAGCTTTCTATATGTATACTGTATTAATTATTTTGTCATCTGTTCTCCTTGTACAATGGGAAATTGCTGCATCGTACAGTGTGATTTTCATGAGGGATTTTATTTCACGCCTTAACTTTCACTACATTTGTGTTTTTCAGCCGGGATGTTGGGCTGCATCCCAGTGAGAAGTTCAGAACAGACAGCTATTGACAACTTCAGACCCTTAGAGTGAAATTACTTTCAAGTATACAGTACTCACTAACTAAATGAACGAAAAAATGGCCGAAAGTGATCCTGAATACAACTAAATTATTGAATATTGAGAAAGTTGTGCATAATCTTAACTCCGTTTAATACTTTTTAGCTTTTATTGTGCTAACTTAGATGAGGTCATTTAATGACATATTTATTAATTGATTTAATGCACATGGATTCTGCTGCAATAGAGAGCTAAAATGAAAAAAACGCGTCACATAAATGAAGTGATAAAAATGAGAATAAATGAAGTAGAAAAGAAGAGTGAAGTTAGTAAATAAATGAACAATAACAACAAATGATGAGATACACTTCAGTTACTAATACAACTGAAATAGAATTATTTTAATTAAGGGAGTTTATCTTAATATAACAAAGATTTTAGAAGAAAACCACAGTAGGATCACTACTAACTTCTATTCGTGGTCATGCCTGTCAATATCCCAAGCACCTAGGTTGTATCATCTCTAGGACCTCAACAAGAAGGTCATGACAAAACGACAGATATAAGTCCAATACGGATTTTATTCATGGTACGGGGGGTTATCATATAAAGACTAACACCCCATTTTTTCCACTCAGTACAAGGATCGACAAATAAGTAACACATTGTGTTGAATGACTTTCATCACACCACAGATTTTAAAAGGTTCGTAGAAAAGAAAGCACTTAGTAAAATGATAAGAGATATACGTATCTAAAATCAATAAAACATTTCGAAAAATGAAAAAGGACTTACTTGTCCAATTCCTATATGTTCAACAGAATGATCAGTTGTATCAGGAATACCATCAAAGGAATAATCAATACTCAATGCTTCTTGACTTTCTAAATCATCAATATCGCCAGAAAACTGTGTACCACTTAAACGTGCTTGTTCTCTACGTCGTTGACGTCGTTCACGCACTAAATAATAATAATAATAGTGTTAACTGAAGAGAGAGATGCTGAACAAAGCAAAGGTTGGATTATTTAATAAGAAAATTCTGTATTATAGGAATATAAACATTAAGTTTATCAAGGCAACTATTAAAAAAACACTGTCCAAAGTGCTATATTTTCACGACAAGTCCGTGATGTGACTCCTGAATTCGCTGCGCTTACTGGTTAGCCTCCTAACGATTATTCAGGCGTAACCATATATTTTTCAATGAAATACTTTATTTTTAAAACAGTAGGTGCTGATTAATTAAACAATGAACTAAGAGGTATACATTTTAGTTAAAGAAGCTTTGTAGAGACTACTTCAATTTCCAGATTTTGTTCGTCACAGATTAATCTTAGTTAAAGCAGAACTGGAAACCAGGTAGAACTGAGCAGTTATTTTGTCTCAGTATGAGACTCTTCAGTGGTGCTTGTCCATGACCCGGTCATGGCTAGGATCCAGAACCTTAGAGTTTCACAGTGATCAGTTAGTAATTAGAAATGGTTTGGTGCGTAATGACGCAACCCCAAATTGAATCAACTTGTGAAACAATGAGACTATCATACAAATGTAACTGACATTACATATGATGAGTGGAAGTTTGAATATGTTAGACAAACGACAAATATCACTAGTGGTAATGGATAATTGCTATCCAATACCATGAACTGACTAACGCTAAAACAGTAAACCACTGTGTACCATCAACTCAGTGGTCTGAAAGTTAGGCACTGTTTATCCTTTGAAGATTTTAATTTGTTTGGATTTCCACGCTAATGTTTAGGATTGCAATTGATCAGTCTGTTTAGGCATATATGCGTCATATGAGGATTGAATATTCTGTTTTTATGCACACATCCTACACAAACACTGTGCTTCCTGAGGCATCAGGTCAGCACGTTGGATAACTGTCGATAGTATTGAATAAGTTAAGAGTGTATAAAAAATAAACGGATTGTACTGCTGCTTTTAGGAAGCTGATAAACCTATAAGTTTGAATTGCATAAAAAAGTGAGCAGCGCATCATGAATTAATGGTATCAATTTCTTTTGGGACGATACAATTTCAGCTTAGATAAAGATATCACTGATCCTACATTTATTTGTACAACATCCATTAAGTTGTGAATATGTGTAATTATCCCATAATTATTGATTACTTGTTTATTTATAGATGGTGTTTAGTTTAATATTTTGCTTTCGGTTAGAATACAAAAAGAAAACAGAAATGAAAAACAAGGGAAGTTTGACTCATTCGTACAGATTTATAAATTGTAGTAGTAAGCGTTGTATGCACTTCGATGTTTTATCTGGAATACTATGTAAGCAATCAATCAGAATGCTAAACTTACCAAATACGCATCTGACCTGCTGATGTTATTTACTAAAGATTTTACAGAGTATACAAGCATTCAAGTACCCCCACTGACTACGTGAAAAATTACATATATGAGGGGTCGGCGCATTTACAATTAATGATATAGACGAACTGACATTTTCTTGAACAGAATTCGTCCGAAAAAACAGGTAACTAGGTATCATACAGACACAATATATTTCAAGTTTGGATAAATATATCGTCATTTGAGAACGGTACAAACATTCTACAGTCAATATCACTGATAATCATGCAAGTATAATTTTTGGGAGTGAAGAAAAGTCCCATATTAGGAAGAAACGGTTGTCCAGTGCTACCTAGTTCCCAGTGGTTATCTTTGTTGTGACAAAGAGAATACTAGGAATGTTGTGACGTTTGGAACCATTTTGTGGATTAATATATATTTCAGATGCCTAAGATGAAGTAATAAACGCTTGCCTGTATTCTCCTATTAAAAATCAAAACTGGGTATAGAAAGCGATGGTCGAATAAATAGACTAGTTGGAGCTAAGGTTATTTCAGCTTAACCCACGGTCAACCTTGTCATTCGTCTAAGGCCATAATCGATCAAACCTTGAAACACTAGGCGATAGCCGAAATAAAATACATGGGGGATAGATAAAATATAACTAAAAATCTGTTTGGCGAATATTTTCTAGATATCGATAAACCTGTTGTCCAAACAGTTCAACTTAAGTCGGTTAGTGGCCTCAACCAAAAAAAGAAAGCAAGTGAATTTCGTCTGTTATTACTAAATGAGTTGGTTATGGGCAAAGTAGATACTAATAAATACATGTACCGGTTCACGTTTTCACACTGCATTAGCAAAGTGAAACCGTAAATATTAATTGTAGAGCAGTAGAAATAGTAATCAAACAAGTGACAGTAGGATACACCAGGAAAAGAAAAATTGATATCTCAAGAAGGAAAATGAACTTGTGGGGTACAATATTTTTAAAATAATATCGAAGGCAATAGAAAAAGCGGATGAATTTTTCCATCGCGACCTATTCTGAGTCATGCTATCCCGCATTTCCAGCCGTTTGTTACGATAATGGCGTGGACCCAAATCAGTTAGTTTTCACGTGGTCACACAATTCAATCTAACAGTCAACGATGTTATACCTTAGGTTGGACGTCCATAGCTTTCTTTCAACCTATTCCCCTACATCATCAAGTATATTTCAAGGGAGGAAGTGGTAGTTCAGGATACAAAATAAATGTCTCACTAGTTTTGATTTAAAATGTGTAGCTGAAACGCAAACGTGTATGTTCGTAAAACTTTGTGTATAAAACACATATTTTAATCATTTAAACATGGATCTATATCAAACTAGACTACACAAAACACCAACAAAAATATATAACTGAGTTACAAATGATAGTGTGCAACGTTTCGAATGCTGAGTTCCTTCTGTAGTGAACGAGAACAACAGTCGGGACGACCAAATGTATTTAAACACAAAATTACAGAACGTCTTAGTTAAATCTGAGATCCATGCAATAAATTCTTCACCTGAAGAATTTCAATCAATTGTCTCAGACTTCATCGTTCCTTCGCTTCCACAACAATCATTCCCTGTTCTTGTTTCCCTTTCTTCATTCTTCTCAACCTTCTGCTGCCAGCCGTTTCACTTGCGATTGGTGATACATACTACTTATACCTGTCGACATCAATAGTACACACAACACTTTCAATTAGATTTGCTATGAAACGAAAATCAGCCACAACACTAGCCTTAGGCGAGGGACGATATGAAGATTACCTATAAACTATATACGTGTTTATAAAGGCTCGATAAGCCGCATGTTTTATAGCCATATAGACGTATTTTTGTCTGTTTTTTCGACTTTAAGACAGACATGTGGTAGACATTAATAGATTCAGTAACTATGTAAAACCCATTTACTTATTGTAATAATAATTTTCATTTTTCCACAACCTGCTCTTTTAAATAAATAGTTTTTCATTAGTTAACAAAGGACTCAATTGTGGTAATTTTAAGAATTAATAAAGTGCACACAAGCAAGTCAGAATCAAGAGTGTGACTTTTAGGATTTTGAAGAAAATTTAAAAATTACGTATAATGAGCGATAAAAAATATCTTTATCAAGACGTTTAAAATGATAATTAAAAACTATTTGTTGCCACCATGGAGAAAAAAATAAAAATATTGGACGTGTAAAATGCTCAGTTTTTTCACTATACGTTGTATGCTGCTAACCATAAACACTTAATCCTAAAAAGTTCTTAATCGATCAGCATTAAATTTTTATGGACGATATAATCATACAGTTACTCTTCGATTTTCGCGCAAAGTTAACTCATCCATATAGTTAAACAGTAATTTACATTATGGATGATGTCAGTTAGTGTTGAAAACCCTAACCCTAAATCTCATACTGAAACCAAGACCAATGTAAGAAACCTTAAAAATTTATTTGAATTCTTATAAGTGCTCAAGAAGACAGATTATGTATATCAATATTGATGGACTCAAATATTGGTGTTTTTATACTCACAGATAGAACAACCTGAAGAAGACTTTAAAAGGATCATTAATTATGTAAAATCTGTTTCAAATTTGTCATATTATTGTTTTCTTTTTCATAAACAATCTATTTGCAAAAGCCGATTGGCTAAGGACTGACTGAAAATTTATCGCGGTTGTCTTAAGCTCATCTTTAGACTATTATACATTTAGTGAACCTCAGCAACATACCATAAGCCTTACCCATAATAAGACTAGAAATAACAACACCATGAAACGAAAGAAAAAAAAAGAATCTACTCGCAAAATTGAATGACTCATCCATCCTATTTGGATAGAAAGAAATATACAAACAGCGAATAAATAAATTCACATACAGATAAATGAAGATAAAAGGACGCATTCAAATATCAATGTGAGTAAATGCAACAGAACAACATTATAATAAATTTATCAGAATAAAAATGCTATATTCTTTTGAACAAAACTAAATCAAATTGGTAAACAATAATAATAATAATAATAATAATAATAGTAATATTTGTTTTATACACACATAAAGAAAACAATTACAAAACTTGTTTGTAATAATAAAATACAAGGACAATCAATGATTGAGTTGATTTACAATATTCTCAGTATTCAATAAGTTGTATTTTATTCGGTAGCTTCGATTAGTTTCCCATTCAGAATTAGTGGATAAGTGTTGCATTTTGGAGTATATTTAACATCAAATACATCATTTCAAGTATCTGGAATTAACTGCTTTATAATCATCTTGTTATGATAAACATGTCAAATGTAGGCTAGTTCAACATAGTAAGTGAAAAATACTGATCTAGTGGAATTTAGGGCTTAAAACGTAATCTCCAAAGACAATTATATTTTAATGTGGTAAGAATATATATTAAAAGAATGTAAATCGATCGAAGATGTTGGATGCAACAAAAAGCGAATATTAAAAACGCGAAAGATACTAGTTCATGTGCAAAATTATTTTTAAAACTGATTGAAAGCATATCAGTTATCGTCTTGTTTTTTATAAATCCTACACAGAATGATCAACATGTGCACCAATCAAAAACTCGAGAATTTTCCATATTTTTGAATTG